TTCATTACATCGCTTATGTATTTCTTTACTGCCGACCAAGTGTCATCCACATGAACACTTGGCGAGAAGATGTATATTCTCTCAAACGATCCTCTGTAGATTTTTAAAATTAAGTTCTGGATCAATACTGTTTTACCACCTGTTGAAGAAGCCACGCACAACATCCGCGCGGGTAGCTTCGGCATCATGTCAAACTTGCTGTTTTTATATTTATATTCGGGTATGTCTATCGGTTCTACTTTAGGTATGTCTTCACTCATTAACTAATAAGAGAAAAATATCTTTTAATATAATGGATAGGTATTTAGAAACGATAGAGGAGATTGAGGAAATTGAGAAGATTGTAATACAAGACACCAAGCTTAAAAGGTGTTGCACCGCTTCTTTAGAATTGCTTAAAGCAGTTCTTGAGTATTTAAAAAAATCTAAGAAGAATTAATGAGTGACAATCATAAAGAAACTAACGAAGGTGGCTTCCACTTAAACACGGATGGATTAAACTGTTTGCCCTGCAAATGCAGAAAGAAGACTTTTCACAAAGAGACTAAGATAAACACCGAAGGTAAAACAATCATTGAAGATCGGAGCAGTTGGAAGGTTGGAAGAGGAAGCACACCAGACGACGGTATTTTTAAAGAAGGTGCGGTAGATCAAACAGGATCGGTTGAAATCTGCGACACAGGCTTCGGTCACGCGCAAGTAACACCAGAAGAGTTAGAAGAGAAAATAGAGAAGCTAGAAACAGATGTTGCAAGAATAGACAAAGATGTAACTATTTTGAAGAATAATTTAAATATATTGGATTAAAAATCTAGTTTATATTGACAGTGTATAGTATAGTTCCCCTGCCCAGACATCTAGAAGGTCCCATTGCTCCCGTGTGATGAACAGTTTCATAAGCACACCATAAGAGTGTGGAAATGATATTAATTCGTAATTAGTTTCATTAAATCTTAAGGGAAAAAATCTTGTTATAAATATGTCTATTTATAACAGTATCCCGCGTATATAAATAATAATGCCAGTAAAAGTAGATAAGATATCAGTTGATTTTGGACCGTATGCTGAAACAAATATGGTCGTGACTAGGAAGTGTTATCGTTGTAAGCAAGACAAAAATATTGATTGTTTCAAGCGTGTGTATGTAGTTAATAAGAAACATTACAATAATTGTTCTGTTAAATACACCTTGACCTGCTCTGAATGTTTAGATAATGGGCAGAGCATACACTTAAAGAAATAACACCTATATATATTGAGTAATGGAAGTCAGAAAATTTTGCAGTAGTTGTCAAATAATGCAGAAGATTGAGAAGTTTGAGGAGAGTTACAAGACGTGTAATGTGTGTAGAGAAAAAGCACAAAGACGACAGCAAAGACACAAAGAAAGACTGAACGAACAGAACAAAGAATACAAAGCACAACATCCAGAAAAAGTTAAGGAATGGAGACAGAACCGCTTCAATAGAATCAAGGATGAGGTTGTCACATGTCCTGTTTGTAATTATGAAATAAAGAAATACAAACAAGCCCAACACGAAAAGTCACAAACACATCAGTATTTTATGCAGAAGCTAACAGATCCAGATTTTGAGAAAGATGTTCCCAAACCAGACAAGATCAGAGAAATAAACGGCAAAGAACATTATTGTTGTAACACTTGCCGTTCTAGCTACTTGCCTCAGATGTGGTCAAGACATTTTAACAGACCACCGCATTTGAAACCAGTAACTGCATAGTTATAGTGTAATTATAATACATAAGCAGTTATATATTATAATTACATTAGAGTTATAACATGTTCGGAGAATCCTAGAAGATAAAGCGAATGCTTTACCCTTGACCCTAAACCCTGAACCAAATTCTACAAGGAACCCCTTGCCCGTTTTAGGCTATGGCACCTGGATAGGGATGTTGGAGTATTACTAGGATGGTATTCTAGGGTTGGGATAGGGATTGTGATATGGTGTGAGGCTAGTGGTGCCCATAGCCCAAAACGGGCACGCATGGGGCTAACTGTATACGGCCGAGGAAAACGGAAGAAGCATCCCGAGCCCAAGCCCAAACCCCGAAGTTGTCTCCAGGCCCTAGGACCTTAATGTCTTCGCAACAGGATAACTACGATACTACTAGGTATCCACCCCAAAAAGACTATACCAATTCGTCATAGAGCTGGCCTCCCAAATGCACGTTGGAGCCTTGGGGCCTGTAGCAATGAAGCACCCTGAAACCCCCAAGAGCACGGCGGTTGGTGATGTCGTAGACAATCAGCGCCCCGGCGGCCTCAGCTGCCAGGAGCTGGAGACCCACCTAAACCCCAAACAAGCAAACCTAAACCCCAAACTCCGAGCCCGAAAACCGAACCGACCTCAACTTTTCGCAATCCCCCAACCCGGAAGCTCACAGATTCAGGGCTTTAGGTTGGGGTTTGGGATGGTGAGGGAGTGCAGGGTTCGGGATTGCAAGAGTTGACCAGAGCACATTCGGTGGAGTTAAGGGGTTATTTATGCACTCTTTTGCCCTTGCCTCAAGGCCTGCGCCGAAGATCCAAGCAATGAGCACATGCAACAACACCACCACCCTAAATCCTAATTCCTAAGCCCGATGCTACAGTTTGAGCTGCCGGCTCCACGGTAGTAGCTCCGGGTCACGGATCTGTAGCGATCCTGCGCATCCCTAAACCCTAAGCCCCTCTGGATTTCGGATCCTAAAGGTGCAATGCTTGCGATCCGAATAGCCCGTCTACATCAACCCTATGAGCCCTGTAAGTCTCACACTAAACCCTGTAAACATTAAAAAAAACCCTATGAGCCTTAGAAACCCTAAAGCCCAAAAACCTTCAGGATTCTGGCTCCGTCTTCGCTGATGCGGTTTCGGCTTTGGGCATCGCCACGTAGTAAACGTGATTCTCGTCATCGGGAGGAGGAGCTGGGAACACTAGTTGGGAACACTGCAGTTTGGGCCGTGAAGGCCAAGCAATCTCGGGAGGACAATATGGAGTCTGCACGCCCACGTAAGCTCCTGAGCTTGACAGGAAATGTAGCGGTGCTTCGGTGGAGGATCTCTCGGGTTCTGGCTCTCAGTCGTTTTCAACGGATGATGTTTCTGGGTAGGTGGGGCAGGTAGTTTCGGCGTACCAGAGCTGCTCCTCAGGGCCCTCAGCAAACTTACCGTATGATACATACTGCGCCATGCCCCTAAAAGCGCATTAAACAAATGATTGAGACTTGCCATCGTCACCCCCAGCTCACATCATAAAAGCAGACATCTGTAGTTGTCAACCACGAGCTGCAAAACCGGTCCCAGGGTGACCTCAAATAACTTCATGAGCCTTAACCAGATCCCCACCTGACCCGCAGTGTCCCAGATCTGGAGCTTGATGTTTCGACCTCGCCGACAAGGCAGAACTGTGCGCTGTCCCGAGATGGCTTTCCCTCCTAAAGAAGCCGAAGCCTGATGGAACAGGATATAGTTAATGCTTAATGGCCGTGGCGATATCATGCTACAAGTATATGGGGGCTGCACACGGCGAAACAAGGCGCAAAACATCGATCCCGATACTAGTCTTTGCGTAATTCCCGAATCTTAGCGCACTGAGGTGCGGCCCTTCTATGTTGACCTAGGGGTGCGCTTTGGTGCAGTGTCTTGTCCCAGCTTTCCATTCGACCAAGAAGTCTCGTGGTGATTTCACCCGCACGCAACACCCACCAACAGATACAGCCTTCCGTGGCCATCCCACTGTGCACTGTATCTTAGAATCTTCTATGCTCGTCATGTCGGCGCCTACAGTATTGCAGCCCCTTTGGTCCCGGTTGTGAGCTGGCTGGTGCATCATTGCTGAAGTACTCCAACAATTGTAGCCACATAAGCAGAGGCCCAAATCGGCATCTAGTTCATGGCTCTGCAGATGGTGTTTTACTTTGCCACAAAAAGAACTTCTTTGAACTTGCAAGTCTTAAAAGCCTTGAGGCTGTCTCCGGTTATCAGGCGCACCTCCCACCGTGATGATCTTGGAGCCAAACCTGCAATTGACCGACAGTTGAGGTGAGCAGGGCTTATAATGCCGCTCTACGTGGGGCTGAAGGGTCGAGGACGTTTTGCTCTTGATGTTATCCTTTTCTGTGGGAGACTGGATCCACTTGAGACGACAGTTTCAGCCCCATGCGGAATTTGGGCCCGCATTCTGAACATGGGGGCCTAAATGAATTCAATTTGAACATGACAACCTCTCTCTCTCTATATATATCTATATATATATATATGTATATATGTATATATAGATATGATAAACTGGCAAAGATTGTAAAACCATAAGATTGGCGACGATGGCGCTGACAATGCCGAAACGTACACAAGAGATAACCAGGAATATTGAGAGAGCGATGCGGAAGAGGAGGAGGAAGAGGAGGAGGAGAGGACTAGGAGGAAAAAGGTGACCATCAATCAATGACGCTGCTGCTTGTGCCGGTGCTTGTGGTGGTGATGGTTGATGTTGGTGATGGTCCAGTGATGGTGGTGACGCGGCGATGGTGGTGATGGTGATGGTGGTGACGGCGGTGGTAGTGGCGGTGGCGCCGGCGGCGGTGTCGGTGATGATGGAGATGGTGACGATGCTGGCGGTGGTGGTGGTAAGGATGATGGGCTGTGAGAGGTTGCTGATGCTTATGAGGACACTGGTTGCGATGGTAATTCTGTGGTGCGGATAGTGCCGGTCTGACTGTGTTGGGACATGGCGCATCTAGCATGCAAGGGCGAACTCACAGGAGAGGACCACTTGTAGATGAACCCGTTGCGGAGGCTGTAGAACCCGTCTGAAGAGCGACTAATTTGTTCTGACTGATTAGCCAACCCCTTTAACAAAGATTCTGACTGATTAGCCAACCCCTTTAACAAAGAGTTTTGGTAGGTAGTCTTCGCAACAGCACCTTTTTTGCGCCAATGAAACTATACTGGGGATGACCAGCTCAGCCATCCAAGCCCATAAAGTGCGTCAGCACGGTTCATGACTTGCACTGCCAAAGCAATGCCGCGATTTGTGCCGCGTATCGGTATGTCGAATGAGGACCTGGAGCGCACTCGGTATAGACATCTGTGAACGACATGCCTCTGTGCATTAGCAATCGCAGCACCATAGACAGCTCCTGGCGGCCATCGCTGACGCACTCTGCCTGCACCTGCATCCATGCACGCAGTTTGTCGAGAGAGCTGATTGCGATAATTTTAACAAAGTGATGCTGATGCGGAGGCTCCCAAAGATCAGTGACAGCTTGCAATGTGTCGCCGTCGAGCTCAAACAGCGGAACAAAGCATGTGCCTTCTTGCCACTTGAAATTCTTTGCGGCCCATTCCCGCACAGCAGGGTTTTCTGCAGGACCCGGGCAGCAGAGAAGGGGAGACTCGTCACAGAGATCCAAGGATTGTAGCAGTTCCCTCAGTGCATGCAACGTCGCCCAGTCATGTTCGACATTATCCCGCCATTCTCGGCAGACGGCTCTTGCAAGGAGAGGCGGTAGATAGCTCTCAATGTTCGTTTGGACACTTGCGGGAAGGCCCTTTCCCGAGTTGTGCCATGTGCCACATCTGCTCGCATCTGCAGACGGCCGACGGCCTCGAGCCAGACCCCGATCCATAATCGTCTCTTGCGACCTATGCTATAATATACTATGAACTAAGAAACCATATGGATAATTCTCAGGCCCTGTAATAAGCCTGCATCTCCAGAAGTTCTGAATCCAGCTTGAACAGGGCCTTCAAAATTAGGCGAGGTTTCTTGGGCATGTCATACTGTAATGATCTTAGGAACCCCAACGAATAGGGCTAGGAATCATACGGGTTACTATTTAGGCTTCTGTAGCACCCCAATTAAACATGCAACTGCAGTCTTTCTGCCGAACGCTTCGAGCCTATAGGCACCAGCAACAAAGCATTTATCTGATCCCTTCGACACCCCCTCGACCCTTCGTAGAACCCCTACAGGAACCCCTGATGTATCACCCCTTAAAGAAACCCCTCTATAACCCCTTACATGAAGCCTTAAAGGATATTGGAACCCTCAACTGGACCCGTGCTGCAGGATCGATTCAAGCTCCTCAACCCTGAATCCCAAAGCGCACCTTAGCGTCCTGAGAATTGCCTGCCCTGAAACCGTAAAGCCCTAGGCCCTAAAAGCCCCAAACCCTATATGGGTGGTTGTCAAAATTATGGTCCCATATGGTCCCTTTTTGGGTACCCTACAAATTAGGTGCCATACTAGATTAGGGACCCAAAAAGGGACCCTAATTTTGACAACCACCCATATCCTAAGCCATAAACCCTCAAACCCCAAACAGTAAGGCCCTGAAGCATCACCTCTTAACTGAACCCCTTGCAGGAGCCCCTTAATTGCAGCAAACCCCAAACCCTACACCGAGGCTGCCAGCTGCACGTAGCTCTGGGGGCCTTAATAATTAGAATAGGGTTTCGGGTATAACATACTGTAGCTATAACAAGGAACCCCAAAACCCTATTCTAATCAGTAAGGCCCCTGCATTATAGAACCCTACTATACATCCCTTATCCTTTGAGGATACCTTTAAAGGAACCCTATTCTAATTGGCTATGAAGGCCCCTACATTATTGAACCCTACTATAGATCCCTTATGGACCCCTTTAAAACTCAGGATCCCTTTAAAGGAACCCTGTCGTAAACATTAAGCTCCCTGCATTTTCGTAGCCTGCTGTAGATCCCTTCTAATTAGACCCCTTTAAAAATTCCAGGGCCCCGTAAACATCTTTCATGGAACCCTATTCTCTGATTATTAAGGCCAGTAGCGCTGGGGGCCGGGCTCCACGCCGATGGTGTGGGATGAACCCTTCTTGACTCAGCAGCGAAGGCGGGTGAGGGAGGCTTGGTTCCTTTAAGGGGATCTATAAAAGTTCCAAACAAGGGAGCAATAATTGGGTTTAGGGTTTAGAGCTTAGTTTAGGATCGAGGGTTTAGGGTTTAGCGTTTAGGGTTTGGGGCCTTTAGGGTTTAGGGCCTTTAGGGTTTAGCGTGTAGGGCTTAGGGAGATCAGGGTTGAGTTGAGGGGTCAGGGTTTAGTCTATGTGGGAGTTTCCGAAAATAGGGATACCTTATTTAGGGGTCCTTATAATAAGGATCCTACTATTTAGGATAGTATATTAGGGTCCCCTATTTTCGGAAACTCCCATGTAGGAAATGCAAGGTAATCAGCAAAATGCCACCTCTTCCCATGCATAGCTTTCAGCAGCTCACGAGAGCTGTCGATTGAGCATGCACCCCACGACTCCAAGGCAAGTTTAGGATCTATGGGGTGTTAGCGGCTTGAATTGCAGATTAACAGGGTAGAGCAACGTGTCTGATGGTTGATGCAAATACATTCGGGCTTCATGCTTCTAGCTTAGGAGTTGGCTTGCGTTCAAGTACACCGTCCCAAACTCTGGATCCTCACGCCGTCCAGAGGACGTGTGTGTTCGAGAATCCAGGTTATGATGCAACGCTCAGATGCTCCCCGGAATCGTTTAGGTTGCAGTTAATGCCTATGCTGTCAGGATAAGCCCAACCACAACAATGCTACTTTGAGGGTCCGGGTGATCCGTAAAACTACTTCATGGGTTCTTATCGTAGTTATCACATAACATCCCCCAGAAACCCTGCTCTACGTATCAAGGTCCCTACCTGCCTCTCGAATGTCCGGAGCTTATACTTCGGAGCCCCGCATGGGCATAGGTTCCCCTGTGTCCCCTTAATTATGAAGGTACCCTGGTTTCTGGTAATCAGTTTCAATCAAAGGCACCCTCAAAAAAGGGGCACAGGGGTACTACTGGGGAACCCTAGAGGACTGAAATTCAAGGGACTGAGATCCCAGCACTTATTGTCAATGAACTGATGCAGAAGGCAGGACCTGAGGCCATCGGAGGGTTCAGGGACTACTCGGCGGTTCAGAGGTCAGGGTTCCATAGTTAGGGCCTATTTCGGGCTCCTTTTTTTTGAACCCTCTTTCGGAAAAGAGAATCTCAGCATCAACTGCACCGCAAGGATCCTCTTTTCCGTCTATTTAGCGGTTAGGGCCTACTCGGTTTAGGATTTAGGGCAATTTAGGGATTTAGGGTCCAGGCGTTGGGGTTTAGGGCGTACTCTGGGTTCAGGGTTGAGGGTTTGGGGCCTATGCTCAGGGTTGCGGGTCTAACGATCAGCCGACTGCTGAGTTTGAGAAGAGTTTGTTGGGTACATGACCCGGTAAGCTTATAGGTACTAAACGTTAGGGTTCAGGAGTACCGCATAGGGTGTTGGAACTCTAGCCACGAAAACCTTATATAATTAACCCGCAGCCTACCATTTGAGGTACTCGAGGGAGCTTCGTGCTTCCCTTCTTGGGCGGAGGGCGTGTCCCCAAGAAGCTTGACGTGGCTTGATGTGGCTTATCAAAGATTTGTGACTGTTTTCACGAGAGGTTGCTGCCGGAATTTTGTAAAATGGAGTCTTTGATCGAGAATCTGGCACCGGGGTCTGGTTCAAACATCTTAGTGAGGGTAAGCAAAAGCTGAGCCGTACCACGCCCAAAACCCTGTGGCGGTCTGCATAGGCACGGATGTTCACTTCGCCGTGACTTTCTTGGAAATGCTTGGGGCATGTCTTGCTCTGTGCGAGTGCTAACCCCACCGGCAAGGTCAACAACCGTGAGACCTTCTACGCCGGCTTCAGACGATCCTGCACAGTACTGCTGTCAGCACCATACCAATCATTACCCCAGGTCACGACCGTTCCATCCCCGAGAATGGCAGCAAAAGGGCCGAAACAGGCTTGGATCTGTGTCACGTTCTTCAGCTGATCCTTCACTGCAGTGCTGTCAGCGCCACATTCAGCATCACCCCAGGTAACGACTGATCCGTCGCCAAGAATGGCAGCGAAAGCCCCGCCAGAGGCCTTGATGTGTTGCACATTTCTCAGCTGATGCGGCGCAGCACTGCTGTCACCACCATACCGGTCCTTGCCCCAGGTCACTACCGATCCGTCAGCAAGAATGGCAGCAAAAGCCCAATTAGAGGCCTGAATCTTTTGCACATTCTTCAAACAGTCCTGCACAGCACCACTGTCACCGCCGAAGCCAGCATCACCCCAGGTCACGACAGAGTGATCGCCAAGAGCGGCAGCAAATGCGCCACCAGAGGCTCGGACCTGCTGCACATTCCGAAGCTGATCCTGCACAGCACTGCTGTCACCACCATACCGATCTTTACCCCAGGTCACGAGAGAATTGCAGCAAATGCGCCGTTGGAAACGCCTTTTATCCACTGCACGTCCTTCAGCCCATCCTGCACGGCACTGCTGTCAGCGCCGTATTCAGCATGACCCCAGGTAACGACTGATCCGTCGCCAAGAATAGCAGCAAAAGCGCCGAAAGAGGCTTGGATCTGCGTCACGTTCTTCAGCTGATCCTCCACGGCACTGCTGTTAGCACCAAACTCAGCATCACCGCAGGTCGCGACGGTTCCATCCCCGAGAATGGCAGCAAAAGCGCCGAAAGAGGCTTGGATCTGCGTCAGGTTCTTCAGCTGATCCTCCACAGCAATGCTGTCAGCACCAAACTCAGCATCACCGCAAGTCACGACCGATCCATCAACAAGAATGCCGGCAAAAGTGTGACAAGAGGCTTGGATCTGCAGCACATTCCTCAGCTGATGATGCACAGCGCTGCTGTCACCACCACACCGATCCTTACCCCAGGTCACTATCGATCCGTCACTAAGAATGGCAGCAAAAGCCCTTTCAGAGGCCTGAACCTTTTGCACATTCTTCAAATGGTCCTGCACAGCACTGCTGTCAGAACCATACCGATCGTTACCCCATGTCGTGACCGTTCCATCCCCCAGAATGGCAGCAAAAGCACCTTGAGAGGCTTGTACTTGAAGTCTGCTTATATGCAAGGTCAGTAAATCACCGTTCTGAAGCCTGGCATGCTTGATCGGCGCACATGCATCCAGAACACCTCCAGATGAGTCCACGAGCCGCCCCCTTCCCACTCCGAGTGCCTTTTCGGCCCGACGTGTGAGTGTTCCAACTTGTTCATCCAGGTCGGCTTTTAGGGTGGCTGTCTTGCCGCTGAGCAGCCCAACTGCCACTGCAATCGACATGTTGCCGCGTCGAGTGTCAACGAGCTGATGAGGATGATCAACTGCAACATCAATATTGGCTAGCTAAACCCAAAACCCTATACTCTAAACCCTAAACCCTAAGCCCTAAACTCTAAACCCTAACTCTAGACCCTAAACCCTACACCCTAAACCCTAAGCCCTATACTCTAAACCCTAAACCCTAAGCCCTAAACTCTAAACCCTAACTCTAGACCCTAAACCCTACACCCTAAACCCTAAGCCCTAAACTCTAAACCCTAAACCCTAAGCCCTAAACTCTAAACCCTAACTCTAAACCCTAAACCCTATACTCTAAACCCGAAACGCTAAGCTCTAAACTCTAAACTCTAAACCCTAAACTCTAAACCCTAAGCCCGGTACCCGAGATCCTCAAACATGTTTGTCAACCCTCGACACCTGCTCCAGTCCGGACCTCCGTGCTCTGTGCCGATGGGGACCCCGGGCGTAAACCACGAACCACTCCATCTAGGGTTTA